ATGCCTTTTATTCTGTCTCATTTCATTTAATTATTAACTTCCCGTAGGGCAAGTTATAGTAATCGCAAAAAAATCGAAAATGAAAATTTTTATATATCTTTACGTTTCAGAGGTTTCTGAACATTTTGGCATACCTTAGAAAAAATGGATGTATGTGTGTGTGTGTGTGTGTGTGTGTGTATGTGTGTGTGTATGTATGTATGTATGTATGTGTGTGTATGTATGTGCGGATACAAATTTTCGTCGACGATTTCGGGAACAAGAATCAACCGATTTGAATAATTCAAAAAACATTCGATCCGTATTGATAAGGAGACGTGCTGATTAGTTTTTGGCAAAGGCAGGTCAAGCCGTTCCGAAGATACGGGGCAAAAAGTTCCGAAAACGGTAACTCAGTTTTTAAGAGAACGGAGCGTCCGATTTCAATAATTCAAAAAACATTTTATTTGTATTGACAAGATGAAGAATCGATACAACTTTCATGAAGGTAGGTCCAGCGGTTTCGGAGATATAGAGAAAAAGTAAAAAAATGAGCCATTTGGCGGTCAAAAATGATCATTAGACATATGCACATCAAATATCAGACATTTTATAGAGATTTTAACAATAAGTATACATTTTGTTAACATTCCTATCGGTTCCGTACCAATGCTTATGCGTTAGACAGCGACGCGGCGCTTACGCGCTTTATATTTTGTCCCTATGTAGTTGAAGCAGTACGATTGCTTTGAAAAAAAGTTCAGATCTTCCACAATATGTCAAAATAAAGAAAAAAATTTTTATTTCAAAAAAAAAAAAAATTAAAAAAAAAATTTTTTAAAAAAAAAATTTTTTTAAAAAATTTTTTTTTTTCAAAAAAAACTAATTTTTTGTCCAATTATAGTTTCTCAAAAATCTTATTTTTTCAAAGTAATTTTTTTTCAAAAATGTTAATCGTTTTAAAAAAAAAAAATAATTTTTGGTACGGGAAGTTCCAGCAATTTGCCTTAAGGCACGATGCCCTAATTGCCTTAAGACAGAATTCCACTTACAGCTAGTTTTCATTTATCTTTCTACACTTTTCCATACTCTAACTAAATCCTTTCTCTGTTCACTTATCCCTATCCCTTTTTCTTGTTTATTATTTTATTTTATTATTTTTATATATAATATTTCTACACTTTCCCTCAATCTCCTTCAGCTTAAACTTTTTTGCTTGTTTTCTAAAAAAAAGTGGAAGGAAAGCAAACAAATATATTTTGAATTTGAAGTTGTGGTTCAATTTTAGTGCTAAAGTTTGATACAAACTTACACTTTGTAAGGCAAAGGATTAGAAGCAAAAACACTACTATAGCGCACTGCCTAATTTTCTAGTTTTTATAATTAACTACTTTCCCATAGGCCTATAATATTTTAAAAGTATGATTTTGATTATCATCCATATCACCATGCGACGTTTCATCAATTTTGCAGATATGTATATCTGAGGTTCTCCTTGTAAATTGTTTTTGTTATTTAAATCAAGTATGATTTAATGTAGCAAGAACCAAAATTAGATACTTTTGAAAAATATTAAAAGTGTAAAAAAAATATTTGCAAAATTTTGCCCATATACTACTCCACGTAAAAATGCTCCTGTTGTACAATTGGTAAACCAATACAGCATGTATAGATAGCAAGAATGCTCTATAAATATATTTTGGTTAGGTTTGATAATGTTTAGTAGTTGTACTTCAAAAACGCGTATAAATAGCGCGAAGTCTAATTTTCTAGTTTTTATAATTAATTAATTTTCACAGGCCTATAATATTTTAATATTATGATTTTGTTTATCATCTCTATCACCATGCGACGTTTCATAAATTTTGCAGATAAGTATATCTGAGGTTCTCCTTGTAAGTTGTCCGTGTTATTTAAAACAAGTATGATTTAATTTAGCAAGAACCAAAATTAGATACTTTTAAAAAAAATTAAAAATGTAAGAAAAATATTTGCAAAATTTTCCCCATATACTATTCCACTTAAAAATGCCCCTGTTGTACAATTGGTAAACCAATACAACATGTATAGGTAACAAGAATGCTCTATAAATATATTTTGATTCGGTTTGATAATAAAATGTCAAGTAGGGTAGAGCGGGGCTAGTTGAGCATAGGGGCAAGTTGAGCAATCAAAATATCTCGAAAACTATTCACCGTCCGTTTAGGCTTTATATGGCGGAAAGATAGAGATTTGGGAGAAATAAACATCCCGCGATCGCTAGTGGCCGCTGGACAAATGAGTGAGGCTCACGGCCGTTTTGTTCATTTTGAGACCAAAAAGCAAAAAAGTAATTCATCACGAGTTTTTCTCTGGTTTAGTCAAATGTTATTTATTTTTAATCAGGTCAATGTTATTCTTCAATATAATTATAGTACTTTTAATATGCACAGAGATTCTGGCTATAATTCTCACGGTTTTATTATAAACTCACTTTTATTTAGAAATTCCGAGTTGGGGTTAGTTGAGCATAGTTGCTAAACTTGTTCTGTCACTAAGACAATTATCATTAACTTCCAGAAATTGATTATTATTTTTAAGATTTAAGCTAAGTTTATGAGTAATAATATAAAGAAAGAATGATTTAAAAAAAAATACTGTATATAATGGTAGAATAATTCCTAAGATACGATATTGTTCTATTGATTTTACTTTTCGTTAATTATTCAAAGCAAATTACTATAAGTTTTGTTTCCTCTGTCAATAAAGACTATAAATATAGAACTGGTTATTAAAAACTTATTTTATTTTATCACTAATCGACATTGAACCTATGATTTCATTATACTTTCTTAGTGCTCAACTTGCCTCACCTATGGGGTACATTGAGCATACTTGACTTTTTGCATTTAAACAGCTGTAGCTTTTAAATTTTATTTATTACCAAAAAATAGTATTAACACTTTTGTTAAGCGATAAACAACAAATCCATTAAGCCATATAGCAATTTATTGAGACTTTTCATTGAGGTGCTACATCCGTTTAAGTAAAAATTTGCTCAACTAGCCCCGCCCTACCCTAGTTGTAATTCTAGCACGTTCTATGCATCTGTCAAAATTATCGAATTATGAAATAAAAATCGCACTATTCAATCAAATATGTCCATCGAACCCTGGTGACAACCGCCCCAAACAAGAGTAATTTTGTCAAAACAATTTCTAAACCTGTTGGCCTTGCTGAGCCTCCCATCCGCCTCGCCTACGTCTGCGTCCATTCCTATTATTATTTCTATTGGCGGCGCCTCTATTCCAATTATTAATTTGTGACATCTGGGGGCCCTTTGCACCGGAGCCTCCTGCCAACGACGGAAAGTTCTGCTCTGTCATGTTTGGGGCTGCGGGTCCTGTCTCCTTCGGGCGCAGGCTTTTAGCGAAAGGCATATATGCATGGGGATCGGTCTTGAAATTTTCTTTATCCATTTCTGATGATAATGTATTAACGACGAGAAAATCGGATTTTATTCACTTCGTTTATAAAACGATGTCGAAACTTTTTTGCGTACGTGCGAGTTCGATTTAGTCAGATGGATCGTCTTTTGTCCTGGTGCAAAATTGGGTAATGAGATGCGCGCGCCTCGGCGAATTCGAAGGATCCAGTTCGCCGAAATGATGACTTTTGTTTCGTGTCATTTTATTTCACAAATGACACTTTGGCACTTGCAATTTGTAAAATCACTCACATTAACCCGATACCGATACACAACTAATTAATATACATATCATAACCATATCACACACCGTTGCAATACACATCTGGTATAAAACCTGATGTGTCAAAATTAGAAGATACATAACCTATAAATTGATGTAACTGACACACGGAGATAGAGATTTAAATATCACATTTTTTTTAAATCACTTGTAAGTGTTTTCGCTATAATCTTATTTCAGATGCACAATATGTTATTAAATAAACGTAGTTTTCACTCTTTACATACGTTTCACACTTTATATTTATATTGTACAGAATCATTTTGGTTTGACTCATCGACGGCACCACGTGTTTCAACCACTAAAATGTTATACTCAAAACTCTCATAATCCGCCATAGCTTTCATTCAGTAGAACTAAAATTAAATTTAAACTAGTGGTGTATGGCATCGTGCCTTAAAGTAAATTGTTGGAACTTCCTGTACCGCAATGAAATTTTCAAGTAAAATTAAATGTTTTCAAATATATTTTATTATAAATACTGTCACTTTCATTATTCGTATTTTATAGAACAAAATATAAGAGCCAATAAATTGGACAACGGAAATTAAGATTTTGAGAAAACGAAGCATCCGATTTGAATGATTCAAAAAACATTCCACTCGTATTAATGTAATGAAGAATCGACTAAGTTAATGAAAAAATGCCATTTGGCGGTTGAAAAACGAATATTATATAATATACGAGTGGGTATAGTAAGACTTCCAAGAATTTTCAAAATTTAAAAAAAAAATAATTTTTAACAAATATAAAATTTTATTTTCATAAAAAGTATAAAATAGTTGCAAAAAACATCAGTAGTTTTAAAAAAAGGCAATATTTTGAATATTCAAATTTTGCAAATGTTTTCAAAATTTTGGTAAATGTTAAATTTTTTTTTAAAAAAAAACAAGGAATCTAATTTTTCTTTTTTGAGCTTTAAAAAAAATAAATTTAATATAAAATAGTTTAAAAAAATATCAGTAATTTCAAACAAAGGCAATTTTTTTTAATATTCAAATTTTTCAAATGTTCAAAATATTTTCAAAAAAATCAAGAAATCTATTTTTTTTTATGAGCTTTAAAAACAAATTGCGGTATGGAAAATTTTATATAAAATAGTTTCAAAAAATATCAGTAGTTACAAAAATGACTATTTTTTTATAATATTCAAACGTTTCAAAATTTTGAAAAATGTTCAAGATATTTTTAAAAATCCAGAAATCTCATTTTTCTTTTTACACACACACACACACACATATATATATATATATATATATATAAATTATAATAATAATAATATGGTCCACTCACCCGCAGGAGGTTCATTCGTAAATTTTATCGACTGCTGCAGCAAAGTTATAGGAAACTTTGGATGGCATTCAGTTGTTATCCAAATTCTAAAAATTAAAACAAATATTTAGTATAAACTAATTAACTTCCCGTAGGGTAAATTATAGTAATCGCAAAAAAATCGAAAATGAAAATTTTTATATATCTTTACGTTTCAGAGGTTTCTGAATATTTTGGCATAACTTAGAAAAAATGGATGTATGTGTGTAGGCGGTTACAAATTTTCGTCGACGATATCGGAAACACGGATGAAGCGATTTGAATAATTAAAAAAACATTCGATTTGTATTGATAAGGAGACGTGTTGATTAGATTTTGGCAAAAGCAGGTCTAGCCGTTCCGAAGATACGGGGCAAAAAGTGCCAAAAACGGTAACTCAGTTTTTAAGAGAACGGAGCGTCCGATTTGAATAATTCAAAAAACATTTTACTTGTATTAACAAGATGAAAAGATGATCAAGGCAGGTCTAGTGGTTTCGGAGATCTAGTGAAAAAATGAAAAAAAATGCCATTTGGCGGTCAAAAATGATCATTAGACATATGCACATCAAATTATCAAATGTTTTATAGAGATTTTAACAATAAGTATAAATTTTGTTTACATTCGTATGGGCTCCGTACCAATGCTTATCCGTTAGACGACGACGCTTGCGCGCTTCCATATTTTGTCTCTATGCAGTTAAAGCAGTACGATCGCTTTGAAAAAAAGTTCAGAATTTCCAAAATATTTCAAAATACACTTTTCTTCAAAAAGTCTTTTTTTTCAAAAAAAAGTAAATTTTTGTCAAAAATTTATAGTTTCTCAAAAATCTAATTTTTCAGAGTAATTTTTTTTTCAAAAATGTTAATCTTTTAAAATAAAAATAATTTTTGGTACGGGAAGTTCCAGCAATTTGCCTTAAGGCACGATGCCATGCGCCCCACTAGTTCAAAAATGCTATAATAAATATAAACATACCGAAAATCTGGATGATAAGCTGTTGGTCCTATTTTTTCAGTTTCCTGCAACACCAACGTCAACTCGTTCATATAATCTAGGCCCAAGTGGCAATTTTGGAGCAAAATCCAACCACCCTGGATAAAAGAATTATGAATACTTTCTCTTTAATTTTCTTTCTAATTAATTGTTTGATCTTTATCCAAAAGGGATATTTTATTTCACTTACAGTTTGCATACATTCATCCAATAACTTTCTCGCGTGCACCTCTTGGCCCTGGCCCATAGATATAGACCCTACAGTATTTTCAACTTTTTTGGCCAACGATTCAATATACGGTGTCGGATCTGAACCCATAGATAAAAAGCAAATCATCGGAGTCATGGGACGACTTTCTTCCAAAAGTGTCTAAACGACAAAAAAAAGAGTGCGCGTAAAGATCACACGCGATTGAAGTAAAACTTATTTGCTACTGTATAAAGTAGCAAATTTAAGTTGAGTAAAAATAAATACATCATATAAAAATTTTGAATAATGTTCATTAGTAATATGGTAACACTCGTGATGCACACATTTATATAATGATAAATTATAAATTATATATTTATGATTACATTAAAAATATGTATAATATTTACAAACAATAATGTAATCAAAGTCGTACTTGAAATATGACATGATCGTTTTAAAGTAATTGCTGATTAATAAATTCTATAATATTCATTCACGCAGTGGATTATGTTAAACAACGCCTAAACAAATATTGTTTTTGCAAATTAACTCATCCTGTAACAATTGTGTTTGAAGAACTTCATGTAATTAAAATTAACATACATTCATTTACTGTTTGTATTTTTTTACTTTTTCGCTGACGATATAATCTTATTCCTTGAACAGCTGTAATATCCGTCTTGCCTAACAAATTAAAGCCATACTTTTATATTTGTTTTATTTATCAAGCCCTGCACATAGCTTGATCTATGAATCATTTGCTTTTTTATGTGAACGTTAATGCAATGATCATCATCAATATTACGAGGTAATAAATTAACCATATTATTAATGTCAACAGGCACATTTATAATTTGGCCAAACATTCCAAATTGTCCATTTGCATGTCGCAATCGTCTAATTTTCATGAAACACAACCTAGGTGAAATTAATCTTTCAGATGCAGTATCTTCAGATAATTTCAGAAATACAAACCCGTTAAACTTACACAAAGTGGGAATTTTATCCGAATTTAATATCTTTCGACAAGTTTGACATCCAACCTGATGATTTAAATCAATATTCAAAAAACATTATTAAGAATTTGTTTTCGAGCATCATTTGATATTTCTAAGTCACTTTTAAACCAAAGTCGATCACACACGAAACATACATAGCCAAAGCTATAATTTCTTACGCAGCGCAGATTTTTCCTTAGTTTCATTATTTATTTGCGATCATTTGCACTACAATTATTTATGGGGGACGGGATAAAATGTTCTTCCGATCCTGACATTTTTATTAACTCACGAATTATACTGCTAACCCATGTCGCGCCTAAAGAAGTTTTACTTCAAAAAAATGTCCCTGTTATCAGATAAACACGTCTTAACCAGGATGACCTGTTTAATTTACCTCGTAGTTAAGAATAACCGGTTCTGCAAACTTTGGACCCATGGACAACATCACATACTTTCTGCTCTGTGCCAGGGTTCGATCTGGACACCACGATCTAACCATGAGCAGTCTTCTGAAAACGTCCAGCATCTGGTAACCGTCTGGCAAAGGTTCTTCCTCTGGTGCTTCTTTGTCGAACCTTGGGAAAAAAATGGTGAGTAACTTGGCAATTTGTAGGACTTAAAAATAATATCTCACCAGTTTTTCCATCCCTTTTCATTGTTTTGCACATGGGACAAAATATATTGGTAGTGTCTCAGAGATGACAACTGGACTAAATTCAACCAGGTTACATCAGTGATCCATTTAAATGGTTTTTCTGGACAAGCGTTCAGATCTAAGGCAGCACCACCTGGGAACAGAAGAAATTTATTGGTCAAAATCAAGCAACCCGAATTTTATACTTCTGATCTATTTTTTCAAGTAGAGATGAACATCGCTGCTGCCCGATTTCACGTTGTCCATAGCAGAGACTCGAACCCATGACACGAGACCGTGCGCTCAACCGTTACGCCAAGGGACACCTTACTAATTTATGTTACTGTTTGTTAATTTTATTCTCAAAAAATTTCAAAAATGAAATTGCACTTTTAAAAATTAAAAAGAAATTTGAAAAAAAAAAGATTAGAAAAGAGCACATTTGAATACAATTTTTGAAGATTATAAAAAGGACTCTACTGACGAGCGCATTTGAAGATTAAGATAAGAACTCTACTGACAGGCAAACTTAAATGGCATCTTTAAAAACAAGAAAAGGATTCTACTGACAAGCAAACTTAAATGATATCTTTAAAACTAAGAAAAGAACTCTACTGACGAGTAAACCTAAATGACATCTTTGAAAATAAGAAAACAACTCTACTGACGAGCAAACTTAAATGACATCTATAAAAATAAGGAAAGGACTCTACCGACGAGCAAACATAAATGACATCTTTAAAAACAAGAAAAGATAAAGATAAAAATAAGAAAATTGAAATGCAAAACTTAAGAAAACAAGATAGGACTCTACAAACAAGCGAACTGAATTACAAAACTTAAAACAATATGAGAAGGACACTACTGACGAGCAAAATGAAAAAGCATCTTTAAAATTTAGAAAAAAACTAGAAAAAGAAATAATGATTAGAAAAGAATACACTTGAATATCATCTTTGAACATTAAAAAAGGAACTCTACTGACGTGCAAACTTAAAGGATATCTTTGAAATTGAAAAAAGAGCTCTACTAACGAACAAAATAAAATACAAAACCTATAAAAATAAGAGAAGAACTCTACTGCCGAGCAAAATAAAATAACATGTTTAAAATTTAGAAAGAAACTTGAAAAAAAAGCAAAAACATTAGAAAAAAGCACGCTTCAATACCATCTTTATAGATTAAAAAAATACTATATGACGAGTACTCTTGAGTATTATCTTCGAAAATAAGAAAAAGGACTCTACTGACGAGCTAAATTAAATAACATTTTTTAAAATGCAAAAAGAACCCTACTGACCAGCAAACCAAAATACAAAATCTAAAAAAATATGGAAAAAGACTATACTGACGAGCCAACTTAAATAAAAGTCTAAAAAATATTAAAATTAAATGGGATAAACTTTTCTCTTGAAAAGAAAACAAACTAGTCCGTGCGCTTAACATTTACGCCATGGAACACCCATTAATAAGTAGGGTAATATATATAATTCTTCGCGTAGGGTAAATTGCAGTAATCGCAAAAAATCGATAATGATAAATATTATTTATTAAAATTAATTAAAGATTTAAATATTAAAATATTTAATCGTTAGACTGCAACCCGACTGCTTTTAAAAAAATCTAAATTTTCAAAAAAAAATCTATTTTGTCAAAGAAGACATTTTTGTTGAATAACTTCAAAAATCTCAAGAATCTCATTTTTTCAATGCTTCAAATGAATTAGCTTATAAATTGTAAATTTTAAATTATGGTACGGAAAGTTCTAGCAATTTGGCTTAATGCACGATGCCATGCACCGTTAGTATTATAACTTATACTAATTTATTATCCTATATGAAGCTCTGGAACTCCTCATGAGTAATATACACAATTATGATTTAAATGTATATGTACTCATACATATTTATGATATTGTACAGTTTAGCTCATAGAAATTATTTTTGTATTTCTGATTGCTGAAATATAGTGAAATAAAAAAAAATATATATTTATGATATGCCTCTATCTTGTATATCAGGGTGGCCCTTAATATGGACATTTTCGAATTTCTTTGCACCCAAGGGCTCAAAAGCTTTCAAATTAATAAAAAATAAAACTCTAACAGTTTTAGCTCTTAATAATAACATTAAGATAGTCCGCAAGTTAATAATAAATATACGAAACTTGTAATTGAATTGCGCACTATCTAAATGTTGATATTAAGAGCTGAAATTTTCAGAGATTTATTTTTTATTAATTTGAAAGCATTTGAGCCCCTGGAAACAAAAAATTTCCAACATGTCCATATTAATTTATCACCCTAATATAATTTATCACCTTTTATAAAGTTCTGGAACTCCTCATGAGTAATATACTCCCTCTGCAAATCGATCTGCATAGTCATCATCAGCACAAACAGATACTTGTTGGCCTCGTACAACCCCCGACTCTTGTATTTGAAAATCTCGTAGGTCAAATAGTCGATGATGGCATGAATTCGTTTGCTGGTTATTTGACTCTTTTCCGATCTGGCCATCGACAAATCGAAACGTTCCAGAAACTGAACCAGGGACGTCTGGTACATGCTGTTCACCATTGCCATTTTGGTGACCAGGAAATAGAGAACGCTGCCTCTGGCCGCCACTGGCCTGGTAAAAGATAAGGGGTAAGGGGTAAAAGATACATGACTAGTTGGTTTGGCATTTAGCCTTGAGGCAAGTTACATGAACTTCCCGATATGTGTAAATAATCGACTTGATCAATAAAAAATAAATTGTGAGTGATTAAATGTATTCCAAGTGCATTTATTACACATAATTGAAAACGAACGAACACCTTAAACTCTGAGTATTTTCAAATAGCAAATTTTCAAAAATCAACAATTATTATATCTGAACCAGTTTCCGTAGGATTTTAATGGTTTAGTACGTTTATTAAGACCAAGGACTATATTGTTATACCAAGTAAATCGTCTAATTTTAATTTTAACTAACGTCAAAAAAACTACTCATTTTCTCAAACTTTGATGAATTTTTAAAATTAAACTACTTGTCGTAAGGCCGTAATATTTCAGTAAGTTCTATAAGACCATGATATAAATCGCCAAAAAAAGTTCCATGAAAATCAACTTAATTTTTTTTTTCAACAGTTAATTACAAAAAAACGGCTCGGTAGATTTTCACCTAAAACTAATCAGTATCATTCCCAACTAATTTCTTTCAAACAGTTTTTGATTTTTTTAAATCGATTCGGTAGGATGAGCTCAAATGTGGACAAAAAGTTTAACACTTTTTTTCAAATTTCAAAGAAACGGCTCGGCCGATCGTCGCACGAAAGTGACAAACGATAGTCCTCATCGAAATACATCAAAAGGCTTTTAAATTTCTGAAATCGGTTCAGGCGTTTTTGAGAAAACGTCGATGAAAGGTCTAATTTTGACAAATGCCAAAAAAACGATACCAATTTTTGCAAACTTTGACGATTTTTTAAAGCTAAACGAGTTGTCATAGGGGCGTAATATTTTAGTATGATTCAGAAGACTATGGAATTTACCGTCAAAAAAATAGTAATAAAAATCGTCGAAAAAATTTTTTTTAACACTTTATTACAAGAAAACGGCTCGGCCGATCTTCTCCAAAAACTAATCAGCACGATTCCAAACCAATATCTTTCGAACGGTTATTAAATTTTCAAAATCGATTCAGAATTGCGGGTTAAAACGTAGACGAAATTTTTTTCACTTTTCTACAATTGATAAAGAAACGGCTTGGCCGATCGCCGCACAAAACTAACAAACGATAGTACTCATCGAGATACATCGAATGGCTTTTAAATTTTTGAAATCGTTCCAGCCGTTTTGGAGAAAACGTCGATTTATGGCAAAAAATCTGTTCACACACACACACACACACTCACACATACTTTTTCCAATTATTGGTCTCATTCGATTCAGAATGGCTTGAAACGTCGAGAAAACATAAAAATAGCGAATCGGATTTTTTGATGAAAACATAAACTTCTCCTTCGGGAAGTTAATAAAGAGTAAAGAATTAGTGTATAATAGTGTATAATCAAGATTATTTATTATATAGTAGTTTTTACCTAAATTCTTCACGAGCAGCGTTGATTTTGATTTCTGTGTCGGAGGCGATTTGGAGTTTTTCCCTGACTTCAGTTGCTGTGGTTTTGGTAATGTTCAACACTCCTAAGACAGTCTCGTCTTCGACTAGGGAACCCTAAAGATAAACATTAGGATTAACTAGTGGTGCATGGCATCGTGCCTTAAAGACAAATTGCAAAATTCGAGAAGGTGTACAATACACTTATGAATGTTTACTTAATGTAATCATATGAATAAATGCATCATACGAGTAGGATTCTCTCATATTTCAAAGAATTACATATAATATTCTTTGTATATTATAGGGTGGTCCTTAACATGGATATTTTCGAATTTCTTTGCTCCCAAAAGCTCAAATGGTTCCAAAATAATACAAAATAAATCTCTAATTACTTAGATTTAGCTCTTAATATTAACATTTCGATTATACTAGTGCTGCATGGCATGGTGCTTTAAGTCAAATTGCTAGAACTTCCCGTACCCTTAATAAAATATCCGAAAAAGGTATTGTACACTTATGAATGTTTACTTAATGTAATCATATGAATAAATGCATCATACGAGTAGGATTCTCTTATATTTCAAAAAACTACATATGATACACTTTGTATATTATAGGGTGGTCCTTAATATGGACATTTTCGACTTTCTTTGCTCCCAAAGGCTCAAATGCTTCCAAATTAATAAAAAAACAATCCTCTAATTAGTTTTAACTCTTAATATTAACATTTAGATAGTCCGCAATTCAATTAAAAGTTTTGGATATTCATTATTAAGTAAATTCTTGCGCCATCTGTGATAGCATTTGTAAACTCAAATATTACGACACTTAAAAATATTTATAAAACACTTAACCTCTAAATAAAGAGTTCAATTTTCTCAACATTTTTCTGAATGAAATGCAAGTATTAAAGTCTCTTGTTTGATGTATATAAGTGAGCTTACATAACTTAAAATCCCTATGTTCAAATCCATTAGAACTTTTTCTTCTGTATCTCCGAAACCGCTAAACCTGCCTTCCCCAAATTGTGATCAATTTTTCATTCCGTCAATACAAGTAAAATGCTTTTTAAATCATTCAAATTAGTCGCTCTTAAAATAATAAGATAAGAACTCTACTAAGTTCTATCAAAAACTAAATTGACATTTTTAGACCTATTTGCTCCATATCTCCGAAACGGCCGGACCTGCCTTTGCCAAAAACTAATCAGCACATCTCCCTATCAATAGGAATCGAATGTTTTTTGAATCATTCAAATCGGTTGATCCGTACGTCCGAAAACGTGGACGAGAAATTGTATCCGCACATACAAACACACACATACACACATCCATTTTCTCAAAATTTGCGAGAAAAGTGCTAATTGATCTGCAATCTATGGAAAGAGAAAGAGCGAATGGGACATCGCTCATTTAATAGATAAGTATAAAATCAATTCAAGATTGATAACATTCTAGATCCTCCCCCCACGAAGTAATGCCTAACGGCGGATTTCGTGAAGTCCAGAGGCAAGGGCAAAGCGGAGGTTTTAGTCGGTATTATAACCAGGCGGTATTGAGTCCGACATACCCAGACAAAAGACCTAGTCTGGAATGCGTAAAGGCATTTCCTTCGCTATACAAAAGAAAAAAAAACACACACAATCTTAGAAAGGCATAGAAATTGTATAAAAGGTAATTGACCTGCAAATTGAATGGAAAAAGAAATGACGAATGGAACCTCGCTCATTTAAAAAATGAATATAGAATCAGTGCAGCAATTGTAGCATTCTAGATCCTCCCCCCACGAAGTAATGCCTAACGGCGGTTTCCGTGGGAACCAAAGGCAAGGGCAAAGCGGAGGTTTTAGACGGTATTATGCCCAAGCGGTATCCGATATACCCAGACAAAAGACCTAGTCTGGAGTGCGTAAAGACATTTCCTTCGTTATATAAGAGAAAAAAAAAACACACACACTCATACATACATTTTATCTAAGGTATGCCAAAATGTTAAGATACCTTCGAAACGTGAAGATTTGCAAAAAATTTCAATTTCGATTTTTGGACAATTGCAACAACGAGAAGTTAAGGACGATAAGGACTAGAGATTGTATAAAAGGCATTTGACTTTATTCAGACTTGTACTTAGTTTAGTTAACATCTTCTTATTGATAGGAATCTAATGTTTTTTGAATCATTCAAATCGGTTGTTCCGTGCGCCGGAAAACGTAGACAAGCAAATGTATTTACACACACATACACATACACATCCATTTTCTCTACATTTATATTAATTTTATAGAAAGAGAAAGAGTGAATGTGATTTCGCTAATTTGAAATAAGTATAAAATCAATGCAAGATTGATAACATTCTAGATCCTCCCCCCACAAAGTAATGCCTAACGACGGATTTCGTGAAGACCAGAGGCAAGGGCAAAGCCAAGTATTGAGTCCGACATACCCAGACAAAAGACTAGTCTGAAATGCATAGCTATACAAAAGAACAAAAACACATCCACTTCCTCTAAGGTACGTAAAAATGTTCAGAAATCTTGGAAACGTAAAGATATGCAAACATTTACATAAGGCATAAAAAATATAATAAATAAAGGCACAAAAACAATTTTAGCTTGTCTTATCAATTCTACTCTATTTACCTGAACAGTTGTCAATTTGTGCAGCAAATTAGCTTCCAGCTCCTTCATTTTGCGCTTATTTGCAGTCACATCCATTATCAAATTAGTTCGTTCTGTTTCCAATTCGTTCTTCTCCGTCAGAATGACACGACCCAACAATTGATCTTCGAGACCTAAAAAAGACCATGAATGAGTATACATAATCCTATCGATTAGAG